GTGAGGGTTATTGAAAATTTAATTATTTACTGAACAGTTTCTTATTATCAATTAACAATTCATCGTGCAATTTCACGATTCAATATCTATATGGTACGTGAATAACTGTTCCCATAAATATATCAGATAGTTTCGTGCTATGAAGAGAACTCTGCATTTACATGAAATGTTTTAATTTCATTCAACATGCTCTATACAAGATTTGAAAAGAAAATATTATCAGGATCGATGAAACGATAAAATACTGTACTAATATTATTTTTAATCTGGCGAGCAATAAACAGTTATTGGCCCGCTGCTGCGATGACATTCTGAATGTCAATAAAATGTAGAGAAATGAAAAGAGCTTCGCAGGCTTGGCGAGATCACACGGAACTACGCGGGTGCCAGCGCCCTGTTCTTTAAACTTGCAAGACGGGCGAGCGAGCAAGACACTTATTATTCATAATAAGTTTATGTATTCATCGATTTTTTATCTAACCTCAACGTAATAATTTTAATATTGATGAAAAGGTAATGTAATGCTGCGGAGATGTGCATAGATTGTAATTTTGATATAAACATAATGTAATGCTGCAGAGATGTGCATGTTTTTTTAATCAGACAATAAATTACGTGTATAGATTTTAAGATAAAGTATAAAAATTTAAGTCTTCCATATGCATTGCTTCTATAGGAAAGAGATATAGAATAAATAACTTCAAGTCCTTCATATGTATTGCTTTTATCGGAGAGATTTGTGAAATAAATGAAGTGAAATAAATGAAAGTAAAAGAATTCCCTGAAGAGACGAGCTCGTCGCCGCATTAGAGGATGTCAAGAGTGAGCTTAACGCCAGTTTGTCAACGTCTGGGGCTGTCGTGCGGGTGTTTACTGCACTACTGTTCAATTAACTGACACTCTTTACAGACCATGAGCAAAGAAAACGTGGTCACGATGTTATTCTTGATTATATGTTGTGGTTCAATTGGGGGCAAAAGGTAATTTGGGGTAACCCAGAACGCAATTGAAACATTTTTTAAAAGGAGAATCTAAATATAATTTTTTATGTTATTTTAAATCCATTAAATTAATAGTCTCATATATGAATGGCCTATTTCATTTCGAAAGAGTTAAATGAAGATTCATAATATAATTAATTAACTGTGTGTGATAAGTTGACTGCAAATACGTCTATTGTTGGAAATTTAGAATGAGTCTTCAAATTTCATATGCAAATTGTGTATTTGGGCAATTCAAGTTTGGCAGAGAACTAATTTTCATTTGAAATGAAAATTTTCTCTGGACTGATAAATGGTTAATCAAAATATAAAAATAAGCAAAACCATAATGTTCACTGATCATTAAGTTCGTTGAGAAATAGTAAACCAAAAATTATATTTGTAATATTGCGTAAAAGATTTCGCTTTCCTACTTCAGCCTTAATGAATTCACTCTTGGCAAAGGACATTTGTGGGCTTAAGTGCCGAGAATTTATTCTGAAGAGAACGCGGCAACTTTCTTTTAAGTTCGCATGCAAGCACTCGCCTGTGTAAACAGCATTAAAACAGCGGACAGCATTTGAGCGGAATACCTGAATAAATGAAGTAAGGATTAAAAATGACTGAAACCTTTCACGATGTAAGAAATAGAAAACTTGCTTTCGCTTACAACGTGGGAACAGGGATGAAGTGTCAGTGTTTATAACTTAAAATGAGACAGTGATAATATTCACAGCTACAAAGGTAGGTTACAACTAGAGGAAGGAAGGTTACAACTGGAGGACGGGAGATTACAACTGAAGGCTGGGAGATTACAACTGGAGGACGGGAGATTACAACTGGAGGACGGGAGATTACAACTGGAGGACGGGAGATTACAACTGGAGGACGGGAGATTACAACTGGAGGACGGAAGGCGCGTTTTACAGCTGCAGGACAGGCGGCACTGTTTTTTGTTCACGACGTGGGATCAAAATCAAATGCTTGTCTCAAAGTAAAATTAAACGACGTTTCCTTTTATGAAAGACAAATCCCAATTGAACGCAAAACGCAATATTTAGTTTAACAAGGGCTGAAAATTATGTGATTGGGCTTCAACATTTAATTTCATTTTGAACCTTGATGCAATATCTGATTTTATTTTTGGTCCCCGTACGACGCGTCCACATTTTTTTAGATGAGCGTTAATGTGTCTTTGAAAAAAAAATTATTCAATCAGGTTCTATAAGGGATTATTGCTCAGTTCTAAATGAGTCATTCCCGTAGGGTCTGCATGAGGCTTTTTGCCAGAGTGTACAGGAGAAATTCATATTGTAAAAACGAAAAACTTTGTGCCAGGCCTATTGATAAAGTTTGCAGCGGGGGCTAGAGAAGGCATTCGTGTCGTGGTTCTAATATATTATATAATATATAATAGTATACATATAATAGATAAGTTTTGTTAAAGACCAGAGAATTAGTTTTATTTATTAACTTCTTGTTAGTTTTTTCAATAAGTCGTACTAAATTCTTCGTAGGTGTTGTTATAATAGATATAAGATATATAATATATAAGAAATAATACGATATAATATTATATAAGATATATCTAATATATAATATAAGTTATTCGTGGTTCTAATATACGGGGCTTGGAGCTTGTCTGCCTAGAAAATGTTGAGGTTGTGGCTAGAGAAGGAATTCGGGCCATGGGTATGACCCATGAGTGAGGGCCTGAATTCCCATTGAGGTGTGACCCATTCCTTGACCATGAGTGAGGGTATGGTTCAAGGAATGGACTTTAGTTTGGCTAAGGAATTTGCCTTCAATAGTTCAGTCCACGGCCGCGGTGCGTTGGCGGATAAACATAGCCCGCTTGCTTGCAAGCTCACATATTTTTGCAGTAAAAATAATTGAAACATCAAGGTCGCGAGTTGAGTAATTGTTTAACTTCTAAATCTCCGACACTCGCAATATCTGGTGGATGGAGAGTGGTCAGAGGTACTCGAAATTGAATGTCCCTGATAAAGCGCCCATGACTAATAACCTTGCATATACAACGAAGATTTTTCATCTATTGATAATATATGACCAGTATCATTCTAATATAGATAATACATATCAAAATATACTGCTCTCCATTGTTATATAGTTTAGCTTTTCTAATATTTCCTATTATATTCAAATGCGAAGCCACGGTTATTAATTGTCATAATTAAACTAGCATCAGATCAATTTATCAATGGCCTTTAAATTATATTTTATTTTATTCTTCAACGTGCCATTATTTATAACCTCTTAAAGCAGCTTCGCATTAATAATATTGAATTTAATATACCAAGTTTTAATGAAAAATATGTGAGCTCATTCTTAGATCTGCATTAAGTGCATCTTACAGTTATTTTTTTAAGTGCATCTCTTTAATTATATGAGAATAACCTTTTGCTATCATGAAATTAATACCAAAAATTAATCAAAGATAACTACGATTTCATACTCCTTGTGAGCATCTTTCTCTGATCGCATGGAGCTTCTCTTACCTCAAACAATACAAATCATTGAATCATGCCAAGGTTTGTTTTAAAAAAACCCTCCGCTGTTCAGGTTCTCAACACAAACCTACACAGAGAAGGTTTCCGTGTTTGTGCGAGTTACCATCATATGATCTGCGCTCCCGCTGTATATTTAGACTTTACCTTGGCGAGCTTTACACTGCAGACTTTACCTTTTCATTTAGACTTTACCTTGGCGAGCTTTACACTGCAGACTTTACCTTTTCATTTAGACTTTACCTTGGCGAGCTTTACACTGCAGACTTTACCCTTTTCATTTAGACTTTACCTTGGCGAGCTTTACACTGCAGACTTTACCTTTTCATTTAGACTTTACCTTGGCGAGCTTTACACTACAGAATTTACCATTTTAATTTAGACTTTACCTTGGCGAGCTTTTCACTACACTCTACTTTATTAATTTTGACTTTACCATGGCTAGCTTTTCACTACAGACTTTAACTTTTTAATTTAGACTTTACCTTGGCGAGCTACCATGTGGCCCAATTAAAATCTGTTTCAAGTCGCGAGCTAGCATCGTTTTCAGAAATTATGTTTTGTATTCACTTTATCAAAGGTTTGGAATTCGGAAATTTGTGAATTATAAATACTTTTAATTTCAAAAATTTACCCATAATATCATGATCTGGAACATTGGAAAAGTCAGTAGCGCAGTGGACGAATATATTTCAGAATACTTGTACAATACGAAACAGAGAACTCTTATTAAAAAGTTGTGTTGAACATATTGCTATCATTATATCATGCTAGGAGTATTGATCTTTTCAGCAATAGAAAATGATTCTCTAATTTAAATTAGGTGATATTTGATCACTTGGCGGTGTCACTTTAGAGATATCAAATGATCACAATTTAAAAATTTATCATGGCTGCCGGAGAGATAATTAAATCTATGTTTCAAATTCCATCGACTTTTCTTCCACCCGTGGGCTAAAAGTCTACAAAAAATGCGCGCTCAACCTTTAATAAAGTCAGACTACATCATAGATCTCGCAAATAGTTCCCCCGACATTTTTCTATGAGGATGGAAAAGATTTATATAGTAATATAAATAAACAGGCACGACATGAATTTTTTCTTATCTGCTCAGTAATTCCCTGGTAATTTTTTAAGGGAAATTAATTGAATAGCAGCAATTTCTCATAATAAAATGGCCGAAATCGGTATAAAATAAATGTTGCGTTGTTTCGATTTCTACAATTTTTACACCTATCAATGCAAAGACATTTCTCAAGTTAATGTAAGTTAGTTACAATGAATAAAAAGGACTGAAGATATTCATGAACTTAGGAGCGTAATTGACGAATCTTTAATTGAACGAATATCAAGTTCCCTGTGGCTTATACTTTATATAGGCCACCGGGAACTTATTTTTAAATCAGCCACTTATTATATACATACATACATATTATATACAAACAATATGTAATGCAGTCATGATCGTGACAAATACAATAAATAATCTGACCTCCAGCTCGCGCGCATTTCGCCATGAAGTCGTGGGCTCCAAATTTGGTGGTGAGGGGGGGCGGCCATTGGGGGGCGGAGGCTGGGGGGCGTATACCCCCCTCTTCTTGAACCATCCTGAGCACCTGAGACCCTTGCAGGTGGGGGGCTATGGGGGCAATGGGCAGAGCGCCCGGTCTGGGGAGAGAAAAATATTTTTGGTAACTAACTAAAAAAAATTGTTTTTGGTAATAAAATCCAAAAATGTTTTTGTAACTAAATAAAAAAAATGTTTTTGTAACAAAACACAAAAATTGTGTTTTTATAACTAGATTTAACACGAAAATAGTTTTTTGTACTAGATGTTAACAATTTTCTAAATATATTTTAAAGTGCATCAATCGCTCTATCTGATTCTATGATTTAATAATTAGCAATCCACGAATTGTTGTGACCAAATTTCAATATAAAGATGAAGTGCTAAGTTAATCACTCTGATATGGAATTAAGTCTTACATTCATGATGAATAAGTAATTCAGTCGTATTCATTCATTTCATTTTCTCAATGTTTTAGAGAAAATTGACAGTGAATTAAATTCGTTAAATGAATATTCATCTGACCTTGATAGCTATTTGCAAGCATTTGTTGCCACTCATGGCATGCATTGCATGCTCGTGAGTCATGACAAACATTTCATGCTCGTGAGTCATGTCAAGCATGTCACTCTTTGAGTCATCGAGACGTCGTTGTGTCACTAAATATAGAGGTGACAACAACAGTTATTTCGAACACGCTCGCCAGATGCTTGCCGCAAGATATTGACAAGCAGCGCTACGCATCAGGAGTTTGCCGCACGATATTGACAAGCAGCGCTACGCATCAGGAGTTTGCCGCACGATATTGACAAGCAGCGCTACGCATCAGGAGTTTGCCGCACAATATTGACAAGCAGTGTTAGTCAACAGGAGTCTAGAAGAGGTTTCCTTACATCGCAGTGATCATTTTCATTCATAAGTGAATCATAAAACAAATAAATTCAGCGCATCAGTAGTGAAGTATCAGGCAGCGGGTGAGACACAGAGTATTTGTAGCGCCATCGTTAGCATCTCGCCGATAGCTGCCGCTCCCACACACCGTCTTTGATCTGCACACCCGGCACAAGTTTGGCACATGCCCAGCAACAGGTGGTCGAGTTGATGGCGGTGGCGGTGGCGGTGGCGGTGGCGGTGGTGGTGGTGGTGGTGGTGGTGGTGGTGGTGGTGTGTGATGAAAGAAAGGGAAGGAAGGATGTGTATCAGGTAAGTAGTAGTGTGACCTGGTGGTAGTGGTAGAATGGTGTTTGTTCATGGAGGTGAAGGTGGGGCTGGTCTTATGGGAGTGGGTAGTGCAGTGGTGGTTGATGAGATGGCGGTGTAGTTGTAAGGCAGGTAGCGTTGGAAAGGTTGAGAAGTGGTGAGATGATGTTGTAGTCGTGTAGATGTGGTGAAATGGTGTTGGTGTGATATTGCAGGTGAGGTGGTCTGATTGTGGTATGGTGGAGATGACGTGATGGGTTGGTGGTACCTAATGTGGTCGTTAGTTTCGCTGTTTGCAGCGAAGTGGTAGTTGCATGGCCTATTATTGATGGTTCATTTCACGTTGTCAAGGCCGAGGTTTAAGTCCAGCCATCGCTTTTGCGGTCATTTTTAAATAGCCGAGAAGGGTGCACGAGGTTAGCAGTTTGAATAATTTTTGGAGGATTTCCCATTATAAAGCTATCTTTTCAAATATAAAAAAATACTCTGAGAAAGGTTACACACATGACTCCAATCGATCGAAAAAAACCACGACTTCAGTCAAAAAACACACATCAATCAATCATCAGCTATGGAAAGATCGGGTTCGGGTTCCAAAGGCCGGATCCCTTGTGAATCAAGTCACGAAAAATTCAAGAATCGGCAACAGGCCATGAGCCTATTTCTTCAGTGCCGACACTTCTATTATATTCTATGACTTCATCATAAGCAAATACAAACGTAGGCACCATCTTGCTTGAAATATTGACTTCCATAGTAGAGAATCGTATGATTATTCAAAATACAATCATTTTCGTACCAAGGTTGAATTTTTTCGCTCAAATGAAAACTTTGATCCTTGAAATTTCAAATTTTTCCAATTTGCTATAGTTTGCCTAGAAATTGACAGACAAATTCCAAAAATTCTACGGGTTTCAATGCCACAATTTTATCTTCGTTGATGGATAACACTTACGACTAGATGAGCCACGAATTGAACTACAGTATTGAGTAATAGTTGTTCAAAGTCAAATCTTGATGTTCTAAAAGATACGAGGGATGCAGAGAAGAAGGTTTGATAATTATTTATTACTCCGACGAAATGATCTTCCTATTTATCGCATACCGGAACAATATTATGTGTTATTTTTGCATTATATGCAACTTATTTCCATAAATGCATTTCATGCATGCTAATAACAGACGTACATGAACGCATTGCATGTCTGGAAGACTTGAATATTCTTGTCCAACAAATTATTGTAAATTTCTATCATGATCATGACAGTAGGAGCGCATAGAGCCACATTTCTCATGCTTACGTTAGTGTCGAATTAAAACGTCTTCTGAAATCCCTGCAGTGAAAATATTCTCCTTGAAATTCATATCACTCAGAAATTCGTAGGAGAATTGCAGGTGGTTTTCAGTCAGCGTTATATCAGTCAGCTTCATATAGTCAGTAAATTGTTCGACGTTCGGTGGAGCGTGAACGATCATCTTATTTTATCTAACGTTGGAGGGGTGAGAACATTTATGCTTTTTATGCTTTGAAAATGATCAAAAGACGAAACGACTTTAAGATTATGTACGGGTTATATAGTGCATAATCTTGTGAGGAGTTTGTGCTGCTAGTGAGGACTGATGGTTGCTGCTACTGAATAGTGTGAGTTGATAGTGAGGTTTGATGGTTGATGCTAGTGAGGAATTTGTGTCGCAGTGAAGTGAGAGTTTGTGCTGCTAGTGAGGAAGGCTAGTGTCAAATGTTGCCAGATCACAAAGCGAGTTTGGCGTCACGACGCAGACTTAGGGATTCTGAATCACCGACAAATCAGTTTATTATTCCTGTATTTGCATATTTACTCATTATTGAAAAATTGTCAAGTGGGCATAATTGAGTTGTACGAAAATCTGCCCGTAATTGAATCTACCTGATATTCATATCAACTCGACAGAGAAATTAGGCTTTTTTCGATAAATTTCTACTTTACCGGCAACAATTTTACCTGCGATACATTTCAGCTCTACTAATAAACTAATTTCTCAAACTAGTTTCTCTAAAAGCTTAAACATTCACAAGAAAAAATCTTGCTTTTAATATTGTTTTGAGTTTATGTTTTGTATTCACAATTACAGTCACTTACAGAATCAAAATATCAGGAGTAAAGAAATATCGATCATGCAGATATTCAGGTTCATATTGCTATATAATTACTGGTATTTTCTGTTTCGTTGTTTCACTTTGAAATTAATTTCATTGTTTCGCTTTGAAATTACAATGAAATTCTTGTAATTAAAATGATGTGTAAATTTCCCTTACCTCATTTAAACTTGCCACGTTTAAAAATGAAAATAGTTTCTATTCAATTTTTTCTGCTTACAAATAAACATAGTATTTGTAACCAATTTAACTATTTGTAATGTAATGTAGCCAATGAAATCAATTTTAATCTAAGTTAAAAATACATAGAGTATTTACTTAAAATCGGCATTATTTTCTCTAAAATTTTGATTGAGATGAAGAGATTGTTTCAGTATTTTGTTTTTATCTTGTAGAGTATCAAACTTGTTAACATTTCGCGACTCCGGCACCGCAAGTGAATTTAATTGTCACTTCTAAATTCATTGGGTATTTAAATTCAGATATAAGCGATAATTCAAAGATTTGAAAAGACCTTCACTGAACATTTTCAATTTAATGCGCATCTGGCCTCTTAATTGCCAGGCATACCATCTTCATAAAGTCATCTTATATCATACAGGCTTTTAAACATCCAACAAAAATCAAACCTTTATTTCCTCGAAACAGCAATAATTGACCTGAAATCCCAGAGTAGATTGACAGCTTTAGATTGATAGATTTAAATTGATAGATTTGCTCATACTTCATCCCATTCAACCTTATGTTTTTTTACTCTGCTCGAATCCGAGTCATGATCAAGCCGAATTTAGAAACTTAATACTCGAATAATAATTGATGCTGATGAATAAAATTTAATATATTAAAAAAGCCCGCCCGATTTCAGTAATAAATCAACACAGTTTAATTTTTCCAGGAGCGTTACTAACTTTAAATTTTACGATAATATGTTTACTAAAGCCTTCTTAATCTTTTTCTCCGTACCATTCTTCAATTTTCTTGCTTTCGTATATTGTTTTGGGCGTCTATTCATTGATTCATGTCTCCATTCATTCATCTCTCATTCATTTCCCAATTCAATTCCTGCATGCGGTCACTTCTTGCGGTGCAAAGCTGCGAGCCTCAGCCTTGGGTGCCATAAATGGCCAACTCAGTTGCGCTCGATCATTGGGCTACGATTAACGGCGCTGAGATCAGCCATATATGGTGGCGCTGAGATCAGCCATATATGGTGGCGCTGAGATCAGCCATATATGGTGGCGCTGACATCAGCCATATATGGTGGCGCTGAGATCAGCCAAATATGGTGGCGCTGAGATCAGCCATAAATGGTGGCGCTGACATCTGCCATATATGGTGGCATTAACATCAGCCATATATGGTGGCGCTGACATCAGCCATATATGGTGGTACTGACATCAGCCATATTTGGTGGCGCTGACATCAGCCATAAATGGTGGCGCTGAGATCAGCCATAAATGGTGGCGCTGACATCAGCCATATATGGTGGCACTAACATCAGTCATATATGGTGGCGCTGACATCAGCCATATATGGTGGCGCTGACATCAGCCATATATGGTGGCGCTGAAAATGGTGGCGCTGACATCAGTCATATTTGGTGGCGCTGACATCAGCTGAAGGCAGCGATTTCAGCAATTCCATTCAATTAATTGAAAACGTTTAAATAATTTCTTTAATCATCTTGAACACGCATTACAAACTTGATATAATTTTCAATACCTAATAACGTTCATTCATGATGAATTGCAATAATCGCCATGC